GAGGGATAGCTGTGGAGTTCCTATTATTTGAGAACAAGACTGTCTTTGTTTTGTTTGCATTCAACACAAGCTTTGAGTCAAAAAGCCAAGATTGTACAACGTCAAAGGCATCCTGCAGGTACTGAAAAGTCTGGTGAAGGGTTTCTCCACAACTGTAAATAATTGTGTCATCAGCATAAAAATGAAACAGAGCATTATGGACCTTTGAACCAAGATCATTTACATAAATGGTAAATAAAAGTGGGCCCAGCACCGATCCCTGAGGAACCCCTGATACAACTTGTAAGAAACCTGAAGAAATACCGTCAAAGGTGACACACTGAGTCCTATCTGAGAGATAATTTTCAAACCAACCAACTGCCTTCTCAGAAAGACCAATGTTGAGCAGTCTCTGTTTTAAAATACAATGGTTCACCGTATCAAAAGCTTTAGAAAGATCGATAAAAAGAGCTGCACACATCTTTTTGCTGTCCAGTGCCTCAATGATGTCATTCACCACCTTCAATGAAGCAGAGATGGTAATATGTTCCTTTCGGAAACCCGACTGAAACTCTGATAGGATATTATTAACACTCAGGAATTCTTTCAGTTGTTCACTTACTAGTCGTTCTAAGACCTTTGACAGCACAGACAAATTGGAAATAGGCCTATAATTGTTTAACAAAGTAGGATCTCCTCCCTTTAACAAAGGGAGGACATAAGCAGATTTCCAGATTGATGGCATAACATTCTGAACCAAAGACAAATTAAAAATATACATGAGCGGTTCAGCAATAAAATCTGCAGCAATTTTTAAAAAATATGGCTCTAAACAATCTGAGCCGGCAGGCTTTTTGATGTCCAATGACATTAGAGCTTCATGCACATCATCAATTGAAAACGGGGCAAAGGTAAAAGAAGAAGGCTGGCCAGCACAACATCTTCCCGCAGCATTACCATCAGAAGAGGAGGTTTTTGGAGATAAAGACTGGTCAAACAAAGAACCAGATGCAACAAAATGTTCATTAAAACATTCTAGCATTGCCGATCTTTCTGAGATAATATCGTCCCTAATGATATGGGGAGGCAGTTCATTATGAGATTTAGTTAACGAAATTGACTGGATAGACTTCCAAAAAGTCCTAGGGTTATTTAGATTGTCTGTAGTGGCCGCTAGATAGTATTCAGATTTAGCATGTCGGACAGCTGCTGTAAACTGGTTTCGTAGTCGTCTAAAATTAATCCTATCTGCCTCCAGCCCAGAATTTCTAGCCTTTGCCCAAGCCACATCCCTCTCATGAAGAAGTTTGCTAAGCTCCGTCGAAAACCAAGGGTTGTCTCGTCCCTTGACTCTAAACTTACGCATAGGAGCATGTTTATTAATAAGTTGCAAAAATCCATCATGAAAGTATTTCCAGGCTAATTCAACATCATCAATAAGCCTAATGCTGTCCCAATTAAAATAGAATAAATCATGTGAAAAACCTTGTAAGGAGAAATGTTTCATATCACGTTTTTCAATGCATCGAGGCCTGGATTTAGGAATTTTTGCATTTCTAACTGCAGCAATCGTACAGTGATCACTAATGTCATTAGCAAACACGCCAATTTCAGAAAATTTATGAGGTGCATTTGTCAATAGCAAATCAATTAGAGTAGATTTCTCTAGGTGTTTTGAATTTGGGCGAGTAGGAGACAAAATTAATTGTGTGAGATTTAATTCACTGCAAAGGCCCTTCATTCCGTCTGAAGCAGTTTTGAACCAGTCCCAGTTCATATCGCCTGCCAGGATAATCTCACTGTACTGCAGCTGTGATAAAAGCTGTGACAGCGTCAGAAGGGTATCAGCTGCAGCAAAAGGTGGTCTGTAGCATCCAACAACAGTGACAGTCATGCCTTTGTACACCTCAACATTTAGGGCCAGAAATTCAAGTTGTTTACTCACAGATATAGACAGAACTACATTGGCAGTGAACTTGCTCTTTACATATATAGCCACGCCCCCAGCCTTACGAGGCCGGTCGGTTCTAAAGACATTGGCCCTCATTTATCAAAAGTGCGTACACCAAATTTCCAGCGTACACCTGGCGTACACCCAAAACCACGGTGACTTTGAGATTTATCAATATGGACGTTGGCGTACGGCACGCTCAAATCCTACGCCAGCTCAGGAGGTGGTGTACATGTACGCACGTTTTGAGTTAGTGCGGAAATGCGCAGAAAAACAATTCCTAACACCACAAAATGCACTGACAAACTAAAAGATATTATATATTATGACCCACTGTAAAACAAAAAAACAACAACATAGTAATTATAAACTTCAGTGTTTATTTTTGTGCAACATGGACTTCAATGTTTAATTTGTGTGACTTTACCAAAGCATTTGATTTGTAAGCATATGTATTCCTTCAGTTGCGAGCCTGTGCGCTTTACCCTGACGTTTCAGGGTTAGGCCCGGCAGGTGCGCACGGACTGGGTTCGGTAACGAAAGGCTTTCATGACCAAAAAATAATTCAGACTGACAAAATAATAAAAAATACATTCTTCTTCTTTTAAATAATAATAATAATACAAATAATAATAATGACATTCTTCTTCTAAATAACAATAAGCGTCATTAATAATACAAATCATACTAATAATAATAAGAATATTACAAATTGTCATGCAATTATTAATGTGAATGAATGGTACTCCACATCACATCATCATCATCACTATTGTACACCCCAATACATGTAACGTGATTCGAAATTGAATGCTAATTCAAAAGACGTCCTGTAAAATATTGCATTGTGATAGGTCATTTCGGCTCCACGTCAGAGAAGTTTCTCTTCTTTGCCGTCTTCCGTGTGTCCATGGCGTAAAATGAGGGCGTGTGGGAAGCGGAGACTTGAATATATAGGGGCGTGTTATTCTAATGACGATCGTTTTCAGCCGCGGGATTTATCAAGGGCAGGTATTCCATACACCTGGATTTCAAAGGTACAGACAGCTTCATAAATCAGGCGGTGAGAGGAGTGTAAGCATAAACTTACGCCAACATATACGCCCGTTTCTACGCAAGAATGATAAATGAGGGCCACTGTATCCACTGATAACAATGTCTTTATCTGTGACTGATTTAGAGAGCCATGTTTCTGAAACAATTATAATATCTGCATCGGTGGATTTTGCCCAAATACGTAAAGAATCGATCTTAGGAAGCATACTTCGCATATTCAAGTGAATAATACCCAACCCAGACCTGTTTTTAAAATCAGCCGGAGTATTGCAGATTTTAGAGTCAATATCAGCTGGGCCAGGATTTGGCTGCACATCACCACAAATAATTAACAACATAATGATCAAGCATCTCTGTTTCATAGTTGCACCAAGGCTCACAGCATTTTTAGTATGTAATGAATTAAAAAACAACATAAGATCATTGTCAGATAAAACAGTGAAGCTTTTCAAAACAGCAAGGCACAGAGAACGGAGAAGAGATTCAGAAGGAACACTACAAAGGGGCTGTAGTTTGTAGCAAGTAGCAAGTAGCTCTGGCCTGGAGCAAGTCATACTGGGAACAAATGAGGGACCCCACGCCTTCACTAGAGAGGTTTCATAGGAGACATTCATATGCCCATGTCCCCAGAGCAAGACAAGGCTCAGTAGAAGAAGTGTCATTTTCGGCACTGTAGAGTTGCAGCTTAAATAGAAGAGCAATTTGCTTGGCAGATGACTGCGTGTGCAGGCAGAGAGAAGGCTGGAGAGTTTGGTAGTTCAACGATCAAGCACAGGTGCAGGCAAAAAGGAAGTCTTACCAGTCGAAGCCAGGTGAAGCAACAATAAACATTCCATAGTTTACCAGTAAGGCCATGCAGAAAGCCTGTGGAAGACCATGCGGCAGGAAGACATGGGCAGCAGCGACAGCAAGAAGATGCAAGCCAAACAGCAAAAGCAGCATGCAGTGAGAGTTAATTGATTTGCCAGATCAGCGCAAGCAGGCAGCAGCAGCAAACAATTCCAGCAAAAACTTAGCAGGTGAGATGGTCGGGCTCAGCAAACGTTAGACGTTAGACAAACATTCGACAAACAAACACTGCTACACATGTGCGGCCATCTTGGATTTGGGGGAGGCAATGGCCAATTTAAGTTACATCATCATAAAGAGCTTAGTCTAGCAATAAATATTACTTTCGATGAATTAAATTACAGTTACATCATCATAAAGAGCTTAGTCTACTGTAGCAATAAATAGGCCTACTTTAGATTAATTAGATTTAGTGTAAGATGAAACAAGTTTCTTGAGTACAATGAGAGCATATTGGGGGAATATGCTTACAAGGGCATGTTTCTGCCTATCGTTGGCAGGGTCCGCCAGCCAGGCCTCAAAGCGGTCCAGCTCTGCATCTGATTCCAGGGGGAATTAAAATTCCCCGGACCACTCAAAGGCTGCTGGTTGGAGCCCGTTATTGACCTTGGCCATGAGCAGGTTCACGGTGGTGGCGAGTTGGGCAACCTGCTGCTTTAGGTTTTCCAAAAGCAATAGCAGGGTTCTCAAGTCTCACGCATTGGCCGTGAGACACACGCAATTCAACCAGTTCACACGCTCACACGCCACACATGTATTTCTCACGCTGAAAAGGCAATGCCAACCAAGTTGTCCTGCAAGTTTTATATAACGTCGTATACGAGGTGCAGGCACACAAAGTGAAGTTTCCTGCCGCCAGCGCGTCCGTATCTCGGCCAGATTGCGTTCGTTACTACTAGGCAACATAGATGCACGAACACACGGAAGTTGACGGAACATTCTCGGCCACCGCGACATTGCGCGAACACACGCACACACATTCTCGGCCACAGTAGCCTACGTTCGTTACTAGGTAACCAACAATATCGCGCAAACACACGTCGTGGTCATAGGTCGTGATGGAGAAGGTAAGTTGGAAGAAAGCTTGTCTAACATTTTTAGGCTAGAACATTTAATATATAGCCCATCGTATTCATTATTATTGATGCAGTCAAAAACTCTACAACTACTTTGCAACCAGGCCAGAAGCTTTGGCTAAGGGAAATGTTAGTGGCTATGGGAAGGAATGAAGATGTATTTCTACATTTTATTTTAAATTATATATTATACTGTAATAGTCTTTCTAGTTACATTAAGGCTACATGTATTAAAGCAGAGTGCTCTGGGTAATATTTTATATCCTGTCAAAACATTAATCATTGCCATTGCATTTGTATTTTTCAAAGATGTCAGGGAAAAATGCAAAAAGATTTGTTTTTCCAAACTGTTTGGAGCAATTTGTTATATTTGTGTAATTTTGAAATATAACATTAAAGAGTATATTTGATGTGATGAATTGCTCTGCCATTTATCAGATTTACCAATTGTTATAATTTCAATTTGTGCTGGTTTATCATGAACAATGGGTAAAATTGGGGGGCGGGGATGAGCGGGGCTCCACTGGGGCTCCTCCCCTAAGGCTCCTCCCCTAACCGCATGTGATCTCACTCCAAGCTTTTGGTAAAACTTGAGAACCCTGCAATAGGCCATGTAGCTGAGCCGCTGAAACATTGTGAAAGCTGAAAAAAAGTGTTAATCTGGAGAAAAGACTCAGGTTATTTATACATTAAGGAAATAATACACACAATGATGGTCAATAAAATCAACCCACAGCTGCACACTATACTGTATACTGGATACAGTACAGGCCAAAAGTTTGGACACACCTATACGTTTCCTTTATTTTCATGACTATTTACATTGTAGATTCTCATTGGCTACTTTGAAGAAACTAGAATATAAGACATGTTTTCAGTTATTTCACTCTTTTTGTGTACATAATTCCACATGTGTTCATTAATAGCTTTGATGCCTTCAGTGAGAATCTACAATGTAAATAGTCACGAAAATAAAGAAAAGGCATTGAATGAGATGTGTCCAAACTTTTGGCCTGTACAGTATATATGTATATATAATATATATATATATATATATATATATATGTTGTAAACATTGTTAACACTTTTTTATTTTTATTTCTTACGTGTGCAAGGAATTGGCCCTGTTTCATGGCCGACTCTGAAGGTTGGCTTGAAGAGGAGGTGACCTCCAGGCTCTCCACCACCGCTGGCTACTTGTGGAAAGGTATGTAAATGTTAAAATCAGAAAACAAGAAAAAAAATAAGTATAAACAGGATATTTATTGTACACATGTTCTTGTAAATTTGTATGAAAAAGTCACCATGTGAATAGGGGAAGCCCATATTAATGTCAAACACTGGACTCAAGTGTTGAGGTGGTGGTGGTGTTGACTGGAGCGCTGAGCTATTGATTACTAGATGACCATTGAGGGAAAATGATAACAAGAGAGGCAGATTGTCAGACAAGGACATGAACAGGACAGAACATCACCTTTGTACTTTCATTTGTATTGTAATTTTGCTATAGAGCATGATTCCTACCATTGAAGGGGTCTGACTCCCTCCTCACATTCCAGCTTATGTCTGTAAAGGTTTCCTGTCCTGTGTTGTCCAGAGACTCCTGACCCATGTCCACAGCGATGTCCGCTTTTTGATAAAGGGAAAACCGTGAATCAACATATTGCAGTGGTACAAATCACTGGACTGTACATTGTTGCATTTGGCAATCAAATCAAAACTTACAGAGGGGGGCTGGAGGGAGACTAGGAAGGGTAGCGCTAATAGGGAGAGGTTGAGGCCGAGGCCGAGACTCTGGTCTTCTTTTTGGAGTCTGCTCAGTTTCAGAGTCAGTACTGCCGTTTTCAAATCCTGGGTAACTAGTGAAGACAGAGGTCAAATTGTAATGACAAGGCAATAGCATCATTGAATGGGCAGGCATGAACAAAGGCTTTGTTTTTTGTACCCTAAACCCATCCCCAGCCATAGCTTTTGCAGTAATACAACAATTATCTATAATGTACATACTGTGTCGCTTTTCTTCTCCTTTTTGCCATTGAGCTCTCATCCTCTGACTGGAGGACTGCCATTCCATTTCTGTTGTAGTCCTTCAGCTTTTGCCTTGCCTTACTGAAGTCATCTACTATTATAAAAAAAATAAAAAAATAAAGAAAGACAGATATGGAGATAATTAAGGATAAATGAAGTAAGGCATAACTGTTGTCCTAACATGGAAAGACATAGAATTACCCTGTTTGCTTGTTTATTTACCTTTTTCAAAGAGTGTTCTTATTTTGAAGATTTTCCAGCCAGGGCCTGGCATTTCATGCCTCTTTATGGCCTTTTGGGTTTTTTCCTCAGAAATGAATGTTGGCCAAAAACATTCATCACCTTTAACCCATGACCTCGGCACAACTTCTGTAATGTCCTCGTCGAGGAAAATTACTCCACAGAATGTCTTTTAGAAATCATTGTGTAAAAAATAAGATGATTAAAAAAATACATAACTGAACTGAACTGAACTATGATTTTCAAAAATAAAGTCTAGTCCTTCATATGAAACAACGGTATAACCACCATTGCCTCATTGAAAGGGACAGCCATGCATTTTTGTGTGAAAGATGACAGTTTGGAGAATTTTATCTCATGGCCTAGGTCACAATGTTTAAAATGTCCGAATTAAAAGGATAGGTAAAAAATGTTTCAACCATCCCGTACTGTCTGTAGGCAATTATGATATCACCGTGACAGTCAATTATATTAATTATTTGACACACATTTTTGCCCATCAGAAATGTGTTGTTTCGACATGTTGTGGTCATGGTGAACCTCTCTGATATCAGTTCGTCATACTGGTGACAGATCAAGTTTGGTACTGGTATAGGGCCTCGGGCATGTTCTTTGCACAATTTGATGGGCTGGTCACTTGTAACACCACCATTTAATCCCTCGGACAGGCGTCTGATTATTTGGGCCAGGGGATTTGAGGGTTTGTGTACAAAACCCTTGAGTTTTTGCAAATAATTTTCGTATGGAAAGGATGATATAACATCCAGATTGCCAAAATGTTTTGCATCCTGTGCAAGATGGGTCAACCCATGCACATTGTACACTAGCTGATCATTTCCATACAGGCGGGCAAAATGTTCCACAAAAGCATGAAGGAGGCTGTTGGGATATTCGTTGTACTTTCTGGCAAAGAAAGGGGAGACCAGCATTGCCATGGCTGTCGACAGCAGCAGGAAGTTTGCATATAGATCAGATCTTAACACCTCGCGCAACACCACCGGCCCTGTGTATAAGAGAAACTGACGGAACTCCGTCGCCTTCCACCTATCCACTTCGTTCAGTGCTCTTGGCCTTCTAGCAAATTCCGAAGGTATGTGGGGTCTTAAGCTTAGAAGATTTCTGGATATTCTGTCCACGTCTCTCCCTGGTACACGGACAGTCAGAGGACCTTTCATCCACAGAAAGATAAGGCGCCTTACCACCCCCAAGCACACCAGGTGCATGTAGTCCAGTGGGACTTGGGACACCAAACCAAAATCTACATTTGTGAAGGCATGAGAACCATGGTGGTGTTCCTCATCCTCCTGCCTGGAAAATGCCTCATCAGACCGTGTTTGGCTATTCATGAGGGGGTATGTCATGCGGTGGTTGAGGTACACCCCACTCTGAATACACTTGTCACAACCATAGTAACCGTTAAAAGCCTTTGTGACTTTCACAAAGGATTTTGCCGGTGCGTCACAGATCATCGAATTAACTTTTAAAGTGAGCCTTTTCCCCTCAAATGTAAACCCCTCCTGTAATTGTGAGAGTTCATTTGCCAAATCTGTGAGATACATTTTTGATGACTCAGGTTTCTTTATACCTGAGTACATCCTAATGACTACAGGTTCTTTCATGGGTACTCCAACCAATCGACCTAAAATGGGCCACAACTGAAGACCTGAACTTTTAAAAAGTGGCAGGCCATCCACTGACATTTGAAGATATAAACAACATCCATCGACAAGCTTGTCTTTCCACTGGGAAAGGGTATGTTTTAACGCCTCAATAATGCCAATGTAGTGGTAAAGGCCACCGCAGAGCTCCTTAACAGAATAATCTCTTATTGTGTTAAGAAGAGTTCGTGCATCTTTTGGCAAGTCACAGTTGTGGACCGTTAATATTGCCAAGAGAGCCGAAAGTGCAATATGGGAAATACCATATGTTAATGCCCAGTTGGAAAGGCGATTTCTGAGTTTTTCTGGTTCCTCCCAGTCAGATATTTCTTCTACATCACTATCATCTTTTTCTTGATAATAAGATCTATCCTCTGGGTCAGACACAACAGCTGCCATTGGATCTAATCCAAGATTTTCTTCCATGATTTCATTTTCAGGTTCTGCAACATCATCTGTTGGAGACCCAATATCTCTGGGAGGAAGTGTGGCTGCAGGTGTTTCCTGGCCGATATCAATTAACCTTCTATTAAGGTCCACCCTGGCTCTTCTCCTCAACGCTGAACTGGAAACAGGTGTCTTGCGTCTATTCATTTTTTTACATTTAGGTAACTATCTAAACTGTAAATTGAATAATAATAATAAAATAAAAAAAGTATGGAGTTTGGAATGGAATGAAAATCTGAGTATTATACCTTCGTCTCAACAGTTTGCATCATCATGTTTTCAGCATCTGGAAAAAGAAATGGAAAGTATGTTGTAAGTTGTTGTCTTACTTAATTTTATTTATTATGTGACTGGAAAAGTTGTCTGGTTTATCAAAAATAAAGATTTGGTAACAAGTATAAAAAAATTTTCTCTATCCCTCTATTGGTCTATATTTATCCATCCATCTATCTATCTATCTATCTATCTATCTATCTATCTATCTATCTATCTATCTATCTATCTATCTATCTATCTATCTATCTATCCATCTACAGCTGACTCAGGAGACTCACTTTTGTTTACAAGAAAATGAAAGTAAAATACCAATAACAAAATTGTAATTGTAAGGTTGAAATTGTAATTGGGGTAGGCATGAGAAGAATAGTGGTTATGGTCTTTGTTCAGTGTAAGGTTGGAGGCATATACATTCAGATGTATTTCTAAATTATGTAGGCTAATGTCCCTGCCACTTTCTATCAGTTCTATCATATATTTTCTCTTCCTTTTCTTTAATTAATGTATATTTGATTTCAGTAATGATACTTTGGCCATGAATAATAAAAAAAAAAAAAATCCTAATCACAATTACTTAATTTATTTTTAGTCCAGGCAAAGTAGCATTTTACGACAGACTAATTGTAAAATATTTTTTTCAGCACAGATCATTTCTATGAGGTGCGCAGAACAACATACTAAAAGTCCTAAGAAATCCTAGTTGAGGAAATATGTTAATTTATCATCAATCCGAAATGTGTGCCAATAAGGCCAGGCAACAATAACAGAAAATTTAGAAAAATAACCCCTGAAATTCATACATTTTATATCATTTTATAATGCAATTTATTAGGCCTATATATTTATAGAATAGCAAAGTAATCAATATACAAGACTTAACCACATAGATATATAAAGGCTATCATGATCATTTTGCCAAAAATGAACAATGTATTTGTTTAGTTTATAATACGTTTTATTTTTTAACTTAAACAAATACAACATATAACATTCAAAACTCATCGGCTTAGACTGCCTTTGAAGAAAAATAAACACAACAGTTTTCTGTAGCCTTGTGCGAACTTATTCAATAGAATTAGACTTCTAGAATGTTATTTCCAGTGCAAAAATATATATTTTTAATTTTAGTAGTTTTTCTTATCATAGCCTACAAATGTCTTCGGAAACACATTTTACTCGATTTACTGAAGCCTGTAAAACGCATTTGCACATTGAGAGTCTGGCTCGCTCATAGGCTGCGTTGCGGCAACTGCACATCCAATGGCACGGGCGCCTCTGACGTGCGACCAATGAGCCAACTCTACGTCATTACACGTCAGAGCCCGCCAAGGGGGCGCCAAGTCCCCGAATTTGCCATTACAGCAGCGGGTTTTCGTTCATTCATCATAGTCTGTCTGACATATATATTAGAAGCTATGCGTCTGTCATGGATTTGTAGACTACTGAATTGATCCTCAAAAATACGGAACAAAGTGCGTTCCGTATCAGTTCAATACGGAACAAGCCTTTTATGTGTCAAATACTGAACGATTCGGCAACCCTAGTCTCATCTAACTTAACTGCTAGTTGTTAACAGCCAAGCAACTGCAATGTTCAGCAAGCCAAAAAGTGGTGCTCAAAAATAAAAAAGATAAGAAAGCTGCAGGTTGTGGCATCAATGATTGACACTGTTAGATGATGGCTAGCTGGCAGCATAAAATTCAAGCGAGTGTTTAAATGGTCGGTCAAGGTGTAAAATTAAGCTCACAATGGTGTCATTTTCATGAATGTGTGCCTGCAATTCTCAGCGCTTTAACGGCATAGCAGCTAAAGCTAAGATAAGGCCGTGACCAGATGTCCGAGACCAAAACCGGCGATATAATCCCAAAATTTTGGAAAAAACGGGGATATTTTTAGTTTGACTGTCAATCTGATTAAAATACATACAAGTTTTATCTTCAAAAAACAGGGACAGGTAACGTTAGTTTTTCTGTATTTTCCCGTAGGCAACCAAAAACGGGGACGTCTGGACATCCTAAGCGAAGACTATAACTACCTTTTAAAATTCAGTACATTAGCGCAAATATATGCCATTAAAAAGTTGATTCGGTTATCCTAATTGGGTCTATTCTGTGCTACACTCCAATTTGTAACATAACACTTTGTGGTGCGCAAATAACAGCCTGTAACTGCTATCTACAAAGCAAACAGCAATTCACTTGCACGTTTAAGTAATAAATTAGACAGTAAATTAGAATAAACACATACAAATAGATTTACATAATAAACACATAGAATAAACACATAAAAACTTACGTGTGGTAGCCTAGCTGGTCAGTTAAATCTGCGTTGACCGTTGAGCTTGATGATAGCCTATATCTTTTTTTTTTCTTTTTTTTTGGCGCTTCTGGCTGAAGTCCGTAGTACGGATGTGGACCGTATCTGCAAGACGACAGTCAAGCGAGACCCAACTTGGTTCACTTGGCGCTGTCGTGAAACGGACCTAAAACGGAGCTCAAACGGCTGTGCTGTAACGGACCTTATAGCATCACAAAATGTTGCTGTATAGTTTTTAAACACTAATAATATTGCTCAGATTAATGACAATGCATTTATCTCATGCTCTAGATAGAAAAAAAATATGCAGACAACCATGTTGTTTTGAAAATGTTTATTCCACGGAGTTCTTCACACAGTTTGAGAAAAGTATTTCGGATGTGGTCCACATCAGGTAGGCTAGTCTCTGTCAAAACAGTGTTGGCTCAAATCCGTTTTGCAGATATGGGCCAGAGCAGTTTTTAGCCCTTTTTTAAATGCAGTCGGCTCAGTTATGTATCACAGATTCGGGCCACACCAGTGTAGCCTATGTGAAAACAGTATCGGCTCAGATTCATATTGCAGATCTGGACCAAATCAGTCAGACACAGCTAATGTCTTTCGGTTACCTATGGGAAAAGTGATCTGGGCCAGATCTGTAAAATGGTATAAATACTGAACTGATGGCAGTTAGAATGCTTAAGCTGAAACTTATATCTGGCACGGATCTGGTTCACAATCAGAAAACGTCTCTAAGGGCCCGTCCACACGAAGACGCGTTTCGCTGTATACGTATAGATTTTTTATCGTATTGGCGTTTCGTCCACACGGATCCGGCGTTTTGGGAGAGTGAAACCGCTATTTTTTGAAACCGGGTCCCAAAGTGGATAAATCTGAAAACGACACCCTTGCGGTTTCGTGTGTACAGCCAATCCGTATATTTTGTGAAACGATGATGTCATCACATCACGTGTCGGCTGCGTGCGTGACGCGTCACACGTAACAGCAACAACAATAATGGCGGACTACATGATTGTGTTCGTGCTGCAGAAGCTACTAAGCCTACTAGCTTTATTACAGCAAAATCTATTGCTTCTATGCAACTGTGGTGAGCAACAAGCGATAATGGACAACACCATACGCCACATGCTCTTAGATCAACCAGGAGAGCAACCAGGAGAAAATTTTGGATAAGACCAGGTAGAACTAGCAGTTGGTGGGACAACTTTGTCAATGGCGTTGTTGTGGAAGATGAATGGAGGGAGAATTTCCGCATGTCCAAAGCATCTCTCGTCGCCCTGAGCGAGGAACTCAGTCCGTATATTGAAGGGCAAACAACAAACATGAGGGCACCAATTACTACACTCAAAAGGGTTGCGTTAACTCTGTATTATTTGAGCGACGAGGGACGGCTAAGGAAGACTGCTAACGCCTTCGGCGTGTCGCGACAGGCTGTGTCTGTTGTTGTCAGGCAAACTTGCAAAGCGATCGCTGTCCACCTGGGTCCAAAGTACATTAAGTTGCCTTTTATGGAGTCCGAGGCCGAGGATCTGGTTTTGCGTTTCCATCGTGCTCATGGCATGCCACAGTGTTTGGGAGCGGTCGACGGCACACACATAGAAATCAAGCAGCCGTCTACCAACTCAATGGACTACATCAACAGGAAAGGCAAACATTCTCTCAATGTACAGGCGGTCTGTGATTATAAGTACAGATTTATGGCTGTTGTGATAAAGTGGCCCGGGAGTGTACACGATGCACGGGTTTTTGCTAATTCAAAGCTTAACCTGTACTTTAAGACTGGCCAGATCCCTCCTCTGAAAAAACAGATTGTGGACAACGAGGAGGACATACCAATTTATCTTCTTGGTGACCCAGCCTACCCTCTGCTGCCTTACTTGATGAAGGAATATGCAAACGGTGGCTCCACACCTCAAGAACAGTACTTTGGGCTAAGTTTGTGTAGGGCACGGATGGTCATTGAGTGTGCTTTTGGTCGTCTCAAAGCCAGATTTGCTGCACTGAAAAGGCCTATGGACATCAACTTGAAGGACCTGCCCTTTGTCATTTATGCCTGCTTTGTTCTCCACAATTTTTGTGAAAACTGTAAGGAGACTGTGGCTGAACACACTGTGTTGGGAACGATGCAAGGTGATAAAGACTTACAGCCTCCTACACAGTGCAACAACTACCTCACAGACTGTAATGAAGGAGAAGGAAAGAGAGTGAGGAGAGTACTCACAAAGTACCTTGACCCTTAAAAATGCTGGCCATCAAGTTTTTTTTTCTATTTTGTTCAGTTTTTTTTTAAAGTATTTACACCATTTACCTTTGGAAAATGTACTGATGATTATTTTGAAAGTGTTGTGTTGAATATGTCTAGATAAAATAAATGACTGCAAAAATTCCAGAACTTTTTTTTTATTGGAAAATAAATATTTAGGTCAAAGAACCATTTTAAAAAACAGGTAATATTTTACAGGTATAAAGTGCAACAGTGCACAAAACACAATAACTATATACAACATGTCAACTACAACAGGTAAAATAATTACACAAAACAGGTCAAACTGTATAAAGTCCAACCGTGCACAGAACTGAAGTGCAGTGCAAACAATATAAAATCAAGAATTATATAGTGCAACAGGGCAGTCACTCTGTGTCGTCTTGCAGCAGTGCATGTCTGTATGAAAATGATGTTTGCTGATGTGGGGTGACATGTGGTGTTTGTGTGTAGAATTTAGGGCGGTACTGTCGAGGTTGGTTTGCTGGTTCATCGGGCCGAGGTGTGTGCAGGAAGGCTGGTGTAGTAGGGTGTGGTGTTGTGTTCATGAATGATGGTGGGTGCCCTTGGAATTGACCACTGCTGCTGTGGGGGGGTGTAAATTGCCGTTGGAATAACAATTCCCTCATGAAGGAAAAACCCTCCTGAATGGTGCTGGTAATGTTAGCAATGTTTGTATTTATCTGCAGCATGTTGTCGGAGTTGCGTCTAGAAGAGTCCTCCATCAACTCCAACATCCTCCTCTTTATTTTAAGGTCCTCCTCTGCCGGATCGGGCTCCTCTTTAGCCTGTCTCCTCTATGGCTGTTCAACTTTGCCTTAAATATAGCAGAGAAAATTTGCATTATTACAACGCAAAATAAGTTCAGAAAGCTATGTGAATAATCCACTAAACCAACACACCTACACAAAGAACATGCATCCATCCTAACTACACTGAAAAAAAAAAAATTTAATTGAATTTACTAAATGTTATGGTAAGTGGTTCCACACAATTGATTTTAGCTACATTTAAACAAATGCATTAAATTGGAAAAAATTAAAGGAATAGTTCACCTCAAAGTTGAAAATTGTGTCATTTACTCACCCTCAAGTTGAGTAATCAAAACAATAAAAAAAATTTAGCAAATTAAATGAATCTTTTTTTTTTCAGTGTATGCCCACATCAAACAATACTATATCATATGTAAATGGACTGCATTTATACAGCGCTTTCAACAGACCCATAGCCACCAAAGCGCTTTACATATTGCCTCACACATACTCGCTAAGCTTGAAATCATAAACCTGGAGCAATTTTTACCTGGAGCAAATCCCGGCGCTGCTTTACAACCGCAGATGGAAGACAAGTCGAGGGATTCAGTGGAGTTTGGAGAATCGGAAGGCAGCTCCACTGTCGATGTAGACGACTCTTCCAGGTCACCTGTCTCGATGCCGGCGTCGATGGAGCGTGTAGCAGGCGAACCACCCCAGATCTCCTCGCAAAGCTCATAAAATATGAGTACTACCCGTCCTTGACCACTTCGACGCCCTGTGTCCACCGCATGCCTGTATTTGCTGCGTATATTTTTCATCTTTGCGGTGACTTGGGCTTTTGAGACCATGCTAGCATCGTGAGGGAAATCCTTCTCGGTTAGCTCCCTCGGATACTGTGCCTGAAACGCGTCCGTTATATCACAATATTTGGAGTGACACGACTCCCAGTCTACGTTTTCTTGCAGCTTAGTGGACTTGTAGTCGAGTGTGACTCTAAGTAGTAGTTCGACTTCATCGTCAGTCCATACGAAAGACTCCACTCTTGCTCTTGAAGTTGTTGCGTTCGCCATCTTCGTCTTCTTCTTCTTGGTTCGTATTCAGCGCGCAAGGTTATGCGCATGCTCATAGTCTTCTTCTCCGTGTATAGTGTATCTCTGTGGCAGAATTACAGCGCCCCATACTGGTCTGGCATATATACTACACCGTTTTCAGTCGGTTTCAGTGGTTTCGTGTGTACGCAGATATTTCTTGAGACGACGCCGTGTTTACGGAATTTTTTTTTAGAACGAGGAAAACAAAATATCGGATAGGGAACGCACCGGCTTCGTGTGGACGTGCCATAAGATAGAAACGGAGGCAAGGGGCTTAAAACGGATCCGGGCCAAACGTAATTGCTATCTGGGATCACTCTGAATAGTAAAGTAGATGCAATGCATTTTCTGTGAAAAGCGCTATACAAATAAATTGGAATTGAATTGAAAGAGTCTGGACTAGCCCAATATGAGTCGCGCTGAAAGCAGGCAGGCACGCAGTTATGTAGCTCGCGTTTACACTTGCGTGCATGGCGGGCCCGTGCCGCGGTTCGCGTGAATGTGAAAGCAACACGGACTCGGGAGCGCTTGTTCAGGAAGTTAAGTAACCTGCCCATGCGTTTTAGCTGATTATGATGCATTTAGTTAAATAAAACACATGTAAGGGATGATAGTGTTGATGATTTACCTTGGATACGCGAGAGTTGAGTCTGCAGTGTATTTGCACATTGCGCGTGCAATCAGGGCAACACATTTGGAAATCCACTGTCTCCTCAAAAGAGTCAGTTTGAAAAACACAATATATTGACCCGCGTTCTGTTTTCTATCATGCGCCGTGCACGTTTGCGATGGCATAAGATGCACGCAAACTCAACAGGGTTCGATAGAATTGAGTGTGAAACCAGACCAACGCTGCGGGGGGCGCCGGGAACAATCGCGCTCGCGCTCGGACTCGGACCGCAGCAAACGAGCCCACTGTGAAAGCTCCGTCACCTGCCTCCGCAATTTTTCATATCAAAGCAGTGAAGGCGGGCGGGAACGTGAAGGAAAATGATAGCAGATAAACCAGCAGGGCGCGCACGGCGCACAGACTGGTGTGTGGAGGTGAATTCCAGTGAGCCGTTTGTGACGGGAGACCAAAAATAAATAGCGGTCAATAGTAAAACGACACGTCGACTAAAAAAATTGCCGTCGACTAATTTGCATGGTCGACTAAGTCGACTTATCACGGCAGCACTAGTCAAGATATATTGTACTATGGTACTGCCGTGCAAAGGCAAAAGACCGTAACTTTGTTTTGGTCGAAAATGAGCTATTGATATTTTTGGCACAGTCAAGACCTTCTTTATCATGTAGATAAGTATCTTGAGTCAATTCTGTTGTTTTTTTCAAGAAAATGGGTTTTTCAAGAAATGGGTTGTCTTAACAGTAACTTCCAAAAGCCCATGAGAAAGATTTGAGTGCAGGGCTGAGTGCTCCTGTGTGGCTGGAACCGCTCTCTGCAACCACAGTGTTGCACTACTGTATCAGACTATGAAGTACTCTACGTTGCAACTGACCGCCTGTTCTCAGCTGCACAGAAACTGAGCGGCGATGGCATAAACCACGAAGCACTGGTAAGCACTTAGGCTAATCACAAATTGTTGATGTTTCATTTATTTTTGAAATTGGATATAAACTCTACCCACCTTGTTTAAAAAGCACAATGAAGACAAAACAAGCGCATCATTACCACATAGATTACAGTTAGCTATGGTAGCTCTGCCAATCGCATTAAGAGGGGATTGGAGAAACTTGTGAAGCCTGTCTGGTGTATTAGTGTGGTTAGTTTGTGATGGTATGTTATGGTGGCTAACCAACTTCTGTCCTTAAGTTTTGTTTATTTGTTTGTTTACTTGATAGGGTGTGAAACCAGGCAGAGTGGGTAACATGGTCTTCATCTCAACAAAACCCAAGTCAAGACACTACACAGCTGTGTAAGGTAATTTTCACTGTCAAGTAATAATGTATTCTGCAGTCATTTGTCAGATTCTTTTTGTTTTGAGAGTTATTGTTTCTTTTTCTCTAATTATGACATAACTGTTTTCAAAGGAGAAAGCGCTGCAAAGCAGTGCGGGGGGACTTGCCAGACCCAGATGTCCTGAAGGTCGACGAGGCATACCAGGACTTCACGGCAGACCTTGCTCCGCTAATTACCACACTCTCCATAAGTAGTGATGTTCCCCTCGCCGATTCAGCCTTTGGGACCGTTCAAGAAGGCAGCCCTATTTCGTGCCAGTGCCAGTGAGTAGGATAATCATCCACCACCCAGACGCAACCCCTCCACCACCCCTGCCGTTAGATGGTCACAGACTGGACCCAACCACATGTTCCTTTGTGTGCGCTCACCAATAACACCTAAATGTAATGTCACATAACATCACTTTCGACATGGCAAGATCCATCGAGAAGGCTACGAGTGGCAGCGCAGAGTGGCACAGCCTGAGGAAGATGAGGCTCACATCCTCCAGGTTCCGGCAGGTCGTGGTCGTGGCCAGCATTTACCCGCTATATCTCTATAAACTTCGCAGCTTTAAAAAAAACAATCATCATTCCTAATGCCGATGCCTGACAGTCAATCCGAGTCAGAGTAGGGCAGAATTGTTTTCAAAGTATTTTACACCGCGAGTCTGACAACTGGACTCACTGCCGAACAAAGAACTGCACGTCGGAAAGTAAGCCTGAGGTAAGTTAGCTTACAATGTTAACTGTCCTGTCAGATACAGACAGTAAGTTTGACGAATATTAGATCAAAAGTGATGGTTAAAAAAATGTTTGGGAATTTTCTATATGTAACTTAGCTTCTGTTGTGTTTCTAAATCATTTCTGCATTTCCTCAATGTTATAAAACGAGCGGTATATACACTCACCGGCCACTTTATTAGGTACACCTGTCCAACTGCTCGTTAACACTTAATTTCTAAGCAGCCAATCACATGGCGGCAACTAGGCATGTAGACATGGTCAAGACAATCTCCTGCAGTTCAAACCGAGCATCAGTATGGGGAAGAAAGGTGATTTGAGTGACTTTGAACGTGGCATGATTGTTGGTGCCAGAAGGGCTGGTCTGAGTATTTCAGAAACTGCTAATCTACTGGGATTTTCACGCACAACCATCTCTAGGGTTTACAGAGAATGGTCCGAAAAAGAAA